TACTTCAAAAAGAAGAGGCCTCTTTAATAACATTGACAACTAATGGTCGTTATTTTTCCCACAAAAAGTCATTTTCAAACCCTTTCGTTTTGAAAGAAGTTCTAAATTAGTTTCGTCTTTCAAATGCCGTTGGAATATAACCTTTTCATTTTTTTGACCTGCAAATGGGACGTAGTACTTTTAATATGACTCATAAAAAGAGAAGACCGTCACTCTTATCATACAGGTGCAAAGCATGCCATGTTTGAACATTCACCTTCGCCGCTGGCATTGCCGTGTTTCCTATCTGTTCAACAACCCTCAGTGATTGTAGATTGTGGATTTATCACTCTTCTCCGGAAAGGTCCGTTTACATAATCTTCTTTACCACTTCCCTATGCACTGTATATCACGAACACAATTTGACCTTACCAATATCCTCCTTAACCTTACAAACTACCCCAATACTGCTATAATGATGACAGCTCATTAAAGTGAAGTTTGCTAATCCTAATTAAATGCAGGAACTGGCAGTCTTTAATATTATTGTAAAACAACGGATTGTGAAAGCTTCAGAAATATTGTGGACTACTTGAATATAAAAACATTATTATAATCAACTAATAAAATTACTGTAATACTGACGACAGCTCATGTTAGGTAAAATATATAGAGCTGGCAAAATCGGACCAGTGGTAGTAAGTCGATTGATTTGTAAGAAGTAAGTAAGTAAATCAAATAGTAATTTAAATTAAGATTCAGAAGTATCATGTACTCGTTGAAATGCAGTGCCTAAAATTATAAGCCCATCAGGTGCTTCTTGGGCTACTTGAATAAAAGAGCAGAAGTTCAAGTTGAAACCACGGGCTCTATTTATCAAGATTATGCATGAAACTTAATTGAACTTGAAGGCTTTACGAGGACCAAAAACTCCGACGAAATAGATAAAGTACCTGAAATTGTAAGCCGGCTGTATTTATGGGCTCCTTGTGCTACTTGATAAGAGCAGATTTTTTCAGTTAAAACTATAACGGGCTATATTTCATTGCAATATATTCCAATCATGCCAAAGAAGTCCGAAGATTCTAAATTACATGTACCTCGAACTGGACCGCTAAGAGGCCCTATTACTAATCTGCATTAACACATATAGGCCTATATCAGATTAGGCATCCGTTGGGTCCATGGATTAAGAACCAGGTAGCGTAAGTCACCTTGAAAAGAGCACCTCAAAGCTTTGACCAACAAGATTTCTATAAATTTGTCTCCCTTTTCAAAGAGAATTCTGACTTGTCTAATGAGCCTATATAATGGTCGATAAGCCAATGGATTTTGAAAATTCCGATATCTCATGAACTGTATTTGGCACTCAATTGTTGACAGCTAAAATAAAAACAGTGATAGGAGCATAAGTATGGTTGGACCTTGAAGACTCCTTATACAAAATGCCTACAAAATAGAAGATAAGTCAATGGATTTATAAACTGCTCGAATGTAAGAGGCAAAATTGTAGTTGAACTTTACAGCTCTCTAAATATACCTTTAATAGTATCCGTCAGTCAATTGTGAAGCTTCAAAAACCCCGAAGGGAATTGTGATTCATGACTAGATTCATTCATTCAAACCACAAATGGAAACGCTATTTCGGATACTTTATCTAAATACGGAGATGCCGTGTCAAAAATGTGTGTGTTGTGCAATTTTATGCTAATTATTAGCGCGCGAAATCATGAATATCAATCAGGTAGATGAGCGATACGATATTATGTCGTCTGGGTTCGGCATGGATATCTCATTAATGCCAAATATGATTTATTAAAGTAACGTCATTTCAAGACGGAAACGGGCACGCTTGATTTAATTCGGTGTAAGTTTGCGACAAGATGAGCCCTTAAAGGGATGCCAGGTTTTCACTGATCTTCTCCTTTTTGGAATTTACTGGAAGAAAATGTAAATTTCTGCAGGTTTGTGGTAGGGACTTTCAAGGGGAGACCACTAGAATAAACACTTTAGTCCAAAAACTGATTCCTTTGCCAACTCTTCTAATCTCTAATCTCTACTTCAAAAACTCATCAGTCATCACTTTATAGTTCCTGCATTTTAATGATACTTTATCAGAATCAGAATCATATAAAATGATATAAGCCTCTAACTCTTTATCAAAACTATTATCGTTATCATGATAATTATCGAAATCATTACCATCACAATAAGAAGGTCCGTGATAGTCATAGCTGCATTTATATATTTCCATATTATACATTCAATTTAAATATTATGCAAATTAGCCTCTACCTATAAAGGAAAATTCTGGGAATAAGTCATACTCTCCGCTAGGTAGCCAAATTTAATTAGATTATATAGGTTTCTATTAAAGCAAAGTAACAATTTGAAATTATTATTCTGATTTTAATTTACATAATGCTTATCAGCTCCAACAACGAAAGGAAATGCAAATTTTCATGGTAAGTGAATAATGTTATAAATAATATAATACGATTGACATTATTGATGGAAATACTGGAGCTCAAAGAAAGTACAAGATTTCATGGTAAGTTACAATGATGTAAATAATCTAATCTGATTGACATTATTACCTCATTTCCTCGTTGATAAAAAAGTAAATAATGAAATACTAGAGCTCAAACGAAAATAAGAGTTTTCATAGTAAGCGAAAATGTTATTAATAATATGATCCGATTCACATTATTTCTTTTACTTTTATGGAAATACTAGACCTCAAAGAAAATGAAAGTTTAATGGTAAGTAAAAATGCGATAAATAATATAATCCGATTTACATTATTAATTTCTTTTGCAGAGTATGTGACTTCATTTCCTCCTTGATATGAAACAATCATTTATGGAAATACTATAGAGCTCAAAGAAAATACAAGTTTTCATAGTAGGTGAAACTGTTGTAAATAATATAATCCGATTGACATTATCAATTTCTTTTGAATGATGACTTTATTTACTCTTTGATATACAATCATTTATGAAAATACTAGAGCTTAAAGGAAATGCAAGTTTCCATGGTAAGTAAAACTGTTAATATAATCCGATTGACATTATAAAATTCTCTTCATTTCTCTTTGTTTAACAGAATCATTTCTGGAAATACTAGAGCTCAAAGAAAGTGAAAATTTCTTGGTAAGTTTAAATGATGTAAATAATCTAATCTGATTGACATTATTACATTTTCTTAATTTCTCTTTGATTAACAGAATCATATATGGAAATACTAGAGCTCAAAGAAAATACAAGTTTTCATGGTAAGTGAAACTGTTGTAAATAATATAATCCGATTGACATTATAATTTCTCTTCATTTCTCTTTGATTAACAGAATTATATATGGAAATAATAGAGCTCAAAGAAAATGTAAGTTTAATGGAAAGTGAAAATGTTGTATAATATGATATAATCCGATTGACATTATTAATGTCTTTTGTAGAGTATGTGACTTCATGTTCTCCTTGATATGAAACAATCATTTATGAAAATATTAGAGTTAAAGAAAATACAAGTTTTCATGGGAAGTGAAAATGTGATAAATAATATAATCCGATTGAAATTATCAATGTCTTTTGTAGAGTATGTGACTTTATTAGCTCGTTGATAAAAACAATCATTTATGAAAATACTAGAATTCAAAGGAAATACAAAATGTTCATGTTGTTACTAATTATCATTGTATGCAAAATGCAGAAAGCAATAAATCAAATTAAATCAAATCAAATTAATACTAATTTTGCGGTTTCAATATTGATTTATCTGTTATTATCGGAGATAGAAATTTGCATATTATGCAAATCAAGGAAATTCCACCAATGGTATAATATTTTCAATTTGTGCATTACAACGACCTTGAACGAAAATAATGGTTTTATTAATACTAAAACCATTTCAAGCAGATATCTGGATACTTCTTTATGTATGGAACGGCAATTAAAGGCGCCTTTGAATACATTGACAAATTTAACAAATTTCCTTATAGGGGTCACTGATTACCATTGATTAGCATATCATGCTAATCAAATTCAGGATATTAGTTTCAGAATGTGAGCATCACGTTATGGGACCCTAGAAACATTAGTGTTAACTTTTAATTAAGTTTGATTTGGTTACCTACATACACTTTTATCAGGAAAATATGACTTATTCCCTAAATTTTCCCTTAGGTGGAGTCTAATTTACATAATATGCAAATCAAATGTATGATAATAATCTGGAAATATGTACATCATCTATAATATCCCCGATCATATCAGTCTAAACACGTAATAGTCAAATTACCTAGTTTTTATTCTCCAAGTACCATTTCATGGGGGAAATTTAATATCTCCTTAATTGTCCATTATATCGCGCACTAATTTGCATAATACGCACGTTATGCAATTGCTGTTTATATCATCAATCTAAAAATGTGTTCATCGTGTTCAGTAACCGATCACATTGGTTTCAATACCTGAATCATGTTAGTCGGGTACCTGGATGCAATTTTTTAGCGATGTTGTGTACTTTTTCAGAATTTCCCATACTTTGATTTCTTAAGACTTTTAATATGTTGTTTAGGGGAGCTTACTGAAATGCATTGCAGTGGAATAAATTATTTTGCAAGTATAGTGGTGGGTTATGTTGCCTCCTAAATATTGCTAGATTGACTTGACTATTTCCTTTCATCCGTAATCGTAGAGCCTATCTAAAGGGACGTTATAGGGTCTCTTCCTAAACCGATTACTCTTGTAGTTTTCCCTGGTAAACATTTAGATCTTCAAGTTTCAAGTTTCAATTCAAATCCATAAAAACACATATAAGATACAGAATATAGAAAACACAGAACACACACAAAATGGAAACATGTCTACAAAATATACCGGAATTATATAAAGTTAAATAGCAATAGAAATGAATAAGGGAAAATTCAATACAAAATAATGTTTGGTTTGTAACTAAATAAAATCATTTTCAGAAGATTACAGAGAAATAAGATACAAGAAGTCCGAAGTTTAAAACTTACTTGTCCAAGACAAAATACAAGTCCAGTCCTCCGCTGCATTTCGACGTCTGAATTCCTGGGCCTGGTGCTCTGGCATACCTCCCCAAAATCATCCTACCAGCTCCAGGAACACCATCTAGATGCCCCACATCCACACCACCATCACCCTGGAGCTCCCCCGGTAGAACACCTCCATAAGTCAGCTGACACAGACTGCTACAGGCCACTACTATACAACACAGCACGAACCTGTTAATATCCATGGTTCTCGTGTCAAAGCTAGTCAAAACACGGCTCACGTCTCGTGTTTTTCTACACCGGGGTTCGTAGATCCACCGAGTCAGACGGTGATGAATTTTTCTCACGATCGTGAAGTATTCCAAAATGTATGCCGCAGACGACGGGTCCTATGCGCGCCAAAGCACCAATGTAAATGAATACCACTGGATGAAAGTTTATACCGTTGTGCATGCGCTCTCAAATAAGCCCTTCGTTGCAATGCCCCGTGTACCCGAACAGACGCAAGCACAATGTACACCTGTATAGTTATCCTACCTGGATGTACTTCGCACGGATTTCGGTGACTGCTCCCTGAGGCACGCAGGCTGTGAAAACATAATGTTGTCAGCAAATGTTGGATGTAATTATAAATCATTTGCAAATAGTGACGAAAGTAGGGAGTAAGTCACGCCAACCTCAGAGTGACTGAGTGTGCGCGCAAGTACGCATGGCTGAACTATTGCCAGACAACCAAATCTCAGAATGATTCTGGATTATGATGACAAAATTATGACCTGGTATTACCTTCGAACCAAGGTCATATGGCAGTGGGTTTGAGCTTCGACGAGTCTCGGCGCTTGACAGCGGTTCAAATATTACCGTCTTATTTGATTCCCCGCGGAAAAGAGGGAGGGGTGCGGATGGGGGGAGGGGGGGTGGGGAGCTGCTCAGCGAAAAAAGGATTGTGGATTATGATTGTAAAGTGAAAAGTTGAACTTTTTCTACTATTAAAATTTTCCTTTAATCGCACACAAATCTAAATATTTGTTTTGAAGAAAAAAAAACCTATGGGCAAGTTCTAAACAAAATGGGCCTACACTTATTGCCTTGATTTAGTATCGTTACTTATCGTAAAAGTACATAAAGCACAATCGGGCTTCAACGAACTATATATATTGGACTTCTAGCATTCCACTGTTGAAAAAAAAACGAATCTTTGTGTGCCCGAAAACTGGAATATAGTACCCTCCCTGGATGCCATGGGGTAGAGAAGATGTAAACAACTATGAATTCTCTCATTTTAAATAATGTGACAAAGAGGGAGAGAGGGGGAGGGAAAGACAGAGAGAGAGGGGGAGGAAAGAGAGAGAGAGAGAGCGAGAGAGAAGGGGCACAGAGTGAGGGATATATATATATATATATATAATATATATATATATATCAATACAAAACGAATTGGTTACTTGAAAACCAATGATAATTATACATATTTTAAGGTGACTTATTTAATTCACTTTGTATTTTAATAGACGCACTACTATTGAATCACGAGAAAATACACTAGTATCTATATTTTCAAGAGACATTAAAAGTAGCAGAAAATTATTTCCTTTTGAGATCAGCAGTTTCTATGCAGCCAAAAATACGGGTAATTGTGGAATAAATCGTATAGTGTTCCTTAATAGCCAATTAAAATGCAAAGCACTTTTACTTTATAGATATTTGTTTGTTTGTTTGTTTTTATTTCTGCGTTTTCAAAATAGAACATAATCATATACATAAAGTAATAATTATTTCTTCACTTTACATAATTATAAATTATAATGCAGCGTTTTTCAACCTTTTTAATTTTTGCTCACGGATTCCTTTTAGGAATTAAATTAGGCAAACAGCGGTTTGTGATGCTTTGTTTTTATTAAGTTGATTTTATTTCAAAACATATATGAGGCGCAATAGCTCAGTCGATGGAGCAGTGGTCTCGTAATCTGGTGACCCGGGTTCAAAACAAAGTCGGTGCGCTAGTGCCCTTTGGTAAGGCATTAATCCTTATCACCAGGTCCCTCGGTGAGGACCTAAAGCCGTCGGCCGTCTGGTTGCTTACTAACAAGCATTTATGCTTTCTTAGCAGTCAGGTAAAATAATAACCACCACCACCCCCTTATATTTAAAGAAACTGAAGTTTCTATCGCGACATCCCCAAGCGATGCCTTGCGGCACCCGATGGAAAAAACGCTGGCAGTAATGAATTGGTTTTGACTTATGAAGTGTATCAACATAAACGGATACTTGAAAACATATTTGTAGTTACGAAAGAGAAAGCGACGAATTATCTTCCGATTCATTAAAATCAAATAAAAATTTCCAATATGAAACAAATTTTATTACTCTAGATTGGCTATTAGACGTATTTTGAAAAGATGAAGTTTGCTGAAGAAACATCGATGTCATATTAAAAATGGTTTAACTGGTATTTTCAGAATTATGATGAATTGTCTTCCTAAGTGGAATCGCAAAAAGTCAAGTGGAATTACTTATTGAATACTCGTTTTCATTATCTACTGTCTCTTATGAAACGGAGGTTGAGTGAAGTAGACAAAATATTAATTGCTTTTCTAAAAATATGATCACAAGGAAATAAATATTTTGAAAACAATAAACTTATAAACAGGAAGACCGAAACCAAGATGGTATATTTAGAGATGGAAAAAAGGGGGAAAATAAGAGGTAAATGAAAAATCACAGAAATGTCTATGATACAAATATCATTGGAAACAAAAAGTAAAATGTCTCAATCAGGTGATGCAGATGTAATTATGGGCAACCCGTAAGCGTTTATCAATGCTTTAAGTTGGAATCGCGTGTGATTATTTAGATATAGATTGGAGGAAATACTCGTTTCCATTATCTACTGTATCTTTCGAAACGGAAGTTAAGTGAAGAAGAAAAAATATTAAATGCGTTTCAAAAATATGGTTATAAGGAAAGAAATCTTTTGAAAACAATGTACTTAAAAAGTTGAAGACCGAAACCAAAATGGTATATTTAGAGATGAAGAAAAAAATGAAAAAATAAGAGACATTTGTAAAATCACCGAAATGTCTATGATACAAATATCATTGAAAAAAAAAGATATAAAATGTTTAAACCAGGTGATAGAGGTATTTAATATGGACAACCCGTAAGCATTTATCAATGCCTTATTAGGAATTGCGTGTGTTCATTTAGATATAGATTAGAGGAAATACTCGTTTCCATTATCTACCGTCTCTTTCGAAACGGATGAAGTAGACAAAATAATAAATGCTTTTCAAAAATATGATTACAAGGAAATTCATCTTTTGGAAACAATATACTAATAAACATAAAGACCGAAACCAAGATGGGTTATTTAGAGATGACCAAACAAAAATAAAGAAAATAAGAGACAATTGAAAAATCACAGAAATTTCTATGAAACAAAATATCATTGGAACAAAAAATATATAAATTTCAGGTTATGCAAAGGTACTTATAAACAACCCGTAAGCGTTTATCAATGCTTTATTAGAAATTGCGTGTGATTATTTAGATATAGAATAGAGGAAATAATCATTTCCATTATCTACCGTCTCTTTCGAAACGGATGAAGTAGACAAAATAATAAATGCTTTTCAAAAATATGATTACAAGGAAATTAATCTTTTGGAAACAATATACTAATAAGCATGAAATTCGAAACCAAGATGGTATATTTAGAGATAACCAAAAAAGAAAGGAAAAATAAGAGACAATTGAAGTATTATAGAAATTTCAATGATACAAAATATCATTGAAAAAAATATAAATAATCAGGTTATGTAAAGGTACTTATAAACAATCCGTAAGCGTTTACCAATGCCTTATTAGGTATTGCGTGTAAAAAAAAGGTATAAATATCAGGTAAAGGTACTTAAAAACAACATGTAAGCGTTTATCAGTGCTTTATTAGAAATTGAGAGTGATTCTTAAGATAGATTACATATGTCGGTTTCATCTTTGTAATATTATAACCGAGTTCGTGAGAACATTATTAATAACTTTTTTTTTAAAACTTACATACTTGATTCCTTTTACGGTGTTAAAGTGAAGTGATTTAACATAATTATGAATGACTCAGCTATTTATTCCGGAAGAAGTCTGATGACTGTGGTGCTATGTATGTTGATATTGAAGGGGTAGTTCTGTTTTCAGACCGCAAATGCCTTCAAAGTGCATGGTTATTGCTCTTATTCTTATTTTCTAGTGCCCTTTTAGAACCTAAAATTGCTATGAAGGTAATTTTAGACCCCAAAATGTGTGAAATTTAGCCAATACGAGCATTCCAATTTAGCGCCACTTAAAAAAAAAAAAACACGGTGACCGTTAATTAATTATTAATTAAAAATAACAATACATGGGCCGGCTGGTTGTGCGTAATATAAGCAACAAGAAAATGCAACAAAAAAACAACAACATCGGCATTCAATTTTGCTGAAAAACAACGTACAAAGGTGTTATTTCGTTTTTTCCAACGCTTTTTTCAAATTTTTCAAAATAGCTTATATTTTGTGGTGGTACACAATTATTAGAAATTGTTATATTTCAGCCGTCTCTGAACCGATTATGATCAAACAAAGATGATTTTTCATTTAAATATTATGTTCTTTCAAATTTGACACTCAGTTTTTCATTATCTCACACAAAAATTATTTTGTGTAGCGCCCTCTGCAACAGAACTCAACTATCCCTTTAATAGACACGTGACTTGCAACCGGGAGGTCCTGGGTTCGAATCCAAGTCGATGTGCTAGTGCCCTTTGGTAAGACATTAATCCTCATTACCAAGACACTCGGAGAGGACTAATTAAAGCCATCGGTCACATGGTTGTTCATCCAGAAGCATATGCTTTTCTAGCTGTCAGGTAAAACAAAACCATCAAACCAAACTAAAATATCAAATGATCTCCTCTTTTATCATTTTCAAGCATGGTTCCCTCCCATCTCCCTGGTTTCTAGTAATGTACAAGGCACTTGACAAGAGTTGAATATGAAAGACTGAAACTCGAAAATATTCATACTCTTATAAAACAACAAGAACAACAAAAAACGGTGTCACGTACTGGTGCGCCTTTTTTAGAAGTAGAAAAACACTTCAACGGTCTTCACCGAGGTCTTATAATAACTTTATTAATCATTACTGCAATTCAAGAGCCCAACGTAAAATAACATTTGATTATGGCAGATTTGCTTCATGCATGTCATAATATTGATGGTACACGTGACGAGATTCGAAACATTAATGTGTTCGTTTAATGGATTCATCGCCTTTTATGGGCCTCGAGTGTCGCGATTGGTCGAAAGTTACGAATGATCTCCTAATTTCAACCAATCAGGATCTGTTTTTCAAAAGTGACTTTTATATATCGATCTTGATTGAATGGGAGAGTTTAGATGAAACTACACCTTGTTGGTAACGGTACATCCCCCCCCCCCCAATACACATTCTCTCTCTCCATTTATATTTCCTTTGCCCTTCCTTTTTCTGTCTCCTCTCTCTCTCTTTCTTTCTCTCCCCCCCCCCCTCTCTCTCTCTCTTTTCCAACTATTTCTCTCTCTCTCTCCCACTCTTTTTTGTTCACATCACTTTCTCTCTCTTTCTCTGTCGCTCTCTCCGTCTCTTTGTCTCTCTATGTGTGTCTATGTCCCTCCCCTCCAGCTCCATCTCCCCATCCCTCCCCTCTCCGTC